TTCGTCGACCTCGTCGAACACCGTGGTGAAGGCAGCTGGCGGTAGGCAGGCGTGGAAGCTCAGCCGCTCCGGTGGCCGTCGAGCTCGACCTGTGCGTCGCAGCTCAGGCTTCGTGATCAGCAACGATCTGCACTTCCACTACGTCGCAGCTCGATCGGCACTTCCACCACGTCGCTTTCGGTGGACTCCTCACCCGCCGACTGCTCCCCTTCCTCGTCGACGTCCTCGTCGTCGACCAGCTACTTTGACCCGTCGTCCGGCTGCTCGTCTGCTGCTGACTTCGACAGCTCCCCTGTCGACCGCCCCGGCTGCTGCTCCCCTGTCGGCTGCACCGCTGCTGTTGCCTCCTGTTCGACCGGCTCCCCTGTCTGCTGCTCCCCTGTCGCCAACGGCTTCCCATCCTGGTCGACAAGCTTGGCACCTTGTCGACCGCCAGCGATGCCATGGGCCGGCGCCACAGGCGACGCCTCAAGGCTCCCCTCATCGTCGGTGGTCGACACAGGTGCCGACCCAGGCCGATCTGCGACGGAGAACGGAGGAGCAAGGACAGGGGGAGGGGGAAGAACCTCCACAACATCCTCAACAGCAGGCTCGTCGACTTCGGTGAGCAACGGAATCGTCGCCGTCGAGGTGTCCGTCGGCGGGTGCGCCTGTGTCCGCTCCAACGCCGGCCCATACTTCGCCTTCCACACCTCAAGCGACAGCGTCTCGTAGAAGATCACCTCGATCGACGTGACCACCTTGTTGTCGGTCAGGTCGAGCACCTCCCAGCCCTTGCTCTCCGGCGACACACCTAGGTGAAGCCCCTAGCGAGCCTTCGGCGCCAGCTTCCCACCGCGCTGCTGCTCAGGAACCATGAACTGCACCATGCAGCCCCACACCCGCGCCAGCGTGAGGTCAGGCTTCGTCCCGGTCAGCAGCTGGTACGGAGTCGTCCCCGGCGGCGTCGTCGACTGCTCCAACCAGTTGCGCACCCAGACCGCCTGTCGAAGAGCAAGGTGCCACCAGTGATGCTGCACGCCCATGTGCAGCAGCATCGTCCGCTCGGACTCGACGACCGTGCGCATCTCCCGCTCAGCCATCCCATTCTGCTGCGGAGTGTAGGGGCACGTCAGGTCGTGGACGATGCCCTTCCCGTCGACGAAGTCGGTGAACGCCTTGCCGAGGAACTCCCCTCCTCGATCGGAGCGAAGCGACAGCACCGACTTCTTCGTCTGTCATTCCACAAGCACCAGCCACTTCTCGAACTCCCGCAGCACGTCGCTCTTCTTAGCGACCGGCATTGCCCACACGAACCGAGTATGGCGATCCTTCAGCAGCAGGAAATACAAGCTGCCATCCTTGGCAGCCACCCGAAATGGCCCGCACAAGTCAACGTGCACGACAGCCAATGCTTCCTCGGCGTCCGAGCCCTTGTCGGGGAAGGTGTGCCGCGCCAGCTTCCCTCCGACGCACGAGACACACGGCGGATCTGCCCCGGTCGACGGCGTGATGTCAAGCCCAACGGCAACTTCATGCTTCGCCGAGCTCTTGATTGTGTCGACGCCGACGTGCGCGAGCCTCGCATGCAACAGGGCAGTGGTCGTCTTTGTCGCCGAGACGATCGTCCGCAGAGCCACCACCTCGGTCGACGTCGAATGCGTCGAGCAGGGGCGAAGGTCGGTGCAGAGAACACGTCCGGTGTAGCGTGCTTGACCGAGCACCTCCCCGGTCGCGGTGACGAGCAGCATCTCGTCGTCGTCGCCCTGCAGCTGCACTCCGCTCTCCTTCAGTTGGCCGGCTGACAGCAGGTTCGCCTGAACGCCCAGAACGTAGAGCACGTCGGGGATGAGGACCCGCTTCCCGGCCTCCCCCTGTAGAGCGACGGTTCCGCGACCCTCGACAGGCTGCAGTGCCCCGTTGAATCCACGCACATGCTTCACACCGTCGCTTGGCCCCATGTCGATGAAGACCGCCTTCGTCCCCATCAGGTGGTGGGAGCATCCGCTGTCGAGCAGCACCGCCATCGGGTTGGCCTACACTGCTGCCGCCACCGCCTGGAAGTCCTCATCAGCCTTCGGCGCCAGCGAGACCGTCGGCTCCACCACGCCGACCATCGAGCACGACGCCTCCCCGTCGCCTCGACTCTTGCTGCAGGAGCTGTCGACGTCCTTCGTCGACGACGTCTCTTCGACGCTTGCTTCTCCTTGCGCGGCTTCTCATCTTGATGGGGGCGACGACTGGCCGATCGACCACGGCCTCCCTTGTTGTCGTCCTCGTCGCTGTCATCGCGGTCGGGGCACTCGAAGGAGAGATGGTCGGGGTCGCCGCAGATCCAGCACTCCCGCCGTCAACCACCACCACCTCGTCGACCCTTGTCCCGCGTTGACCGCTTCTCGTTGACGTCCTTCGTCGACCGCCCACCTCCGCTACCACCTCCGCCCGGCTTCCCGCGCTGCCCTTGCTGCTGATTCAGCTTCGTCGATGCAGCGTAGTTTGCCTGCAGAAGAAGCTCTGTGGGCTGTTCGGCCTCCTGCATCGCCTCATCTTGAAGAATGTAGCTGGTGATGGAGTCCTCGTCGAGGGACTCACGCGTGCCGGCCACCATCATCATCCTCTTCATGAGATTGTAGCTGCGCGGCAAGCCCTTGACGATGTGGGTGATGTAGGACGCCGTCGAGTACTCGGCGCCCGCCATCCGCATCTCAGCCAGGATCCGTCGAGCACGGTTGCAATAATCCGTCGCCGACTCCTGCTCGCCCATCCGAATGTGGGTCATCTTCTCCTCCAGCTGCCTGATGTACAGGTCGTCCCTGACCTGGTACGTCGACATGATGAAGTGCCATGCCTGGTGACCAGCATCGAGTCGCTCTCGAAAGCTCCTGAGCGCCAGCTGCACCACCGGTGAGCAGCACCTCGAGATGACCATGAAGGTGAGCAAGTGAGCCGCTCGAAACTCCTTGCGCAGCTCGACATCGTCCACGGGCGGAATTGGCACTGTGCCGTCGGCGAAGCCCTTCAGCCCGGCGACCTCCAGCTGAGGTTCGATTGACTCCCTCCAGGTGATGAGGTCCCGTCGACCTTGCAGCGGTGCGACGGTGATCCGGTCTGGCGAGAACTTGAAGTAGCCATACGCCGGTGCAATCCCGCCTGCCGTCACATGCGTCGTCGCCGAGAGCCCCCCACCGCTTCGTAGAGGAGAGCGACGTCGAACATCGACGTCGGCACGCGAGCTGCCTGCAGCCGCCGTCGACCGTTGCACTCGCGCCTGGATTCCGTCGACACCACCGTCGACCTTGATCACCCCTCTCTGCCTCGTGCCTTTGCTGCCGCTGACTCGTGCACCACCGTCGACCTCGTCGTCGACGCCACATTCGTTGCGCACCGGTCGAGGAGAAGCAGGACGGGAAGGGTGTTCCGTCGCCCACTACGACCGAATGCCCAACTCGGCGATCACCACGGGGATCGTCTCGTACTCGCCATCCGCGTGGCGTCTCCTCGCATCAGCCAAACGTGCCTCCAAGGTGTCCGCTACGCCCGCATCAATTACGGGGTCGACCATGGCGACTAACGCTGCTGCCGGCCTACAAACGACTTGGTAGGTGCAAAAGTCGGCTCCTATCTGAAGGTAATCTGCGGGGCCATCCACGCTCACCGCACCATGCGGAGAGTCACTCTACAACGGTAGTGAGCTAGACTACGGGGGTTGGTACGAACTACTAGAGATGATCGTAGCTTTGCTTGGTTCCTTAGTTCTTGCACATTCACGAGAGAAATCGGCAAGAGTTTCCACTAGGCAAAATCGAAATTACATAATGATTGAACAAGCAATGACGGAATGACTACATCAGGCACCTAGCAACCCTGCAGCTAGCCTGGTCGACCGCCAGCACAGCTCGGTCGACTGCCTGCCAGCATTGCGTAGAGGAGCCGCGCCAGCACTGCAGAAGGGCGACCTGCCAGCAGAGCAGGTCGACGGCGTGCCAACGCTGCAGCAGAGCGGCTGTCCAGCGTTGCCCCGTAGAACACAGCAGTGCGCACGCTCGAAGGTGTGCGCACCCTCTGGTCGACCACAACTCCCGTCGAGCTACCCCCTGGTCGACAGACCCCTTCCGTCGACCGGAACAGTCAGCGGTTGGCGCCAAGCTCCCCTCGTCGACCGCTGTTCACTTGTCAGGTCGACGGACTGCTCCGTCGACCTTCCGGTCGAACTGCAGGTCGACGGGATGCCCCGGAGACCTCCCGGTCGAGCTGTAGGTCGACGGGATGCTCGGAGACCTTCCGGTTGAGCTGCAGGTCGACGGGATGCTCCGGAGACCTTCCGGTCGAGCTGCAGGTCGACGGGATGCTCCGGAGACCTCCCGGTTGAGCTGCAGGTCGACGGAATACTCCGGAGACCTCCCGGTCGAGCTGCAGGTCCTGGTCGACGTCCCACCCGTCTCCCAGACCAGTCAGTTGCAGCTGTCGAGCTCCCTGGTCGACAGCAACACCACAGCGGTCCCCTGCAGCTCGACGAAGCCTGTCAAGCAGCTCTCCCACTGTGAACGGTCAGCTGCTACTCCCGTACATCCGACCAAGTCGTCGGCGTTGCCCAAGCGAGGGCGGGGCCAACACTCCATTCCCGTTAACAGGGGCAATCAGCTGATCGCAATCAAGTGATTGCTCCCGATTGCCCGAAATCGCCGCCTTAGCTTCCCATAAGTTATTGATCGACTTTGATCGTGGTAATCAAAGGCGAACCGTAACACGTCCTTACTGAGGCACTCGTCGCGGCCATCCCGAGTGTCACGCGACGAACTTGTTGGGCCTATTTCGTCGTACTGAACCATCCCTGAGTCGGCCCCGCTCCAATTGCAACATTACCGAGCCATCCTTCGCCCAACCTCCTCGCCTAGCTAGGATTCCCCTTATATAATTTCCGTCACTTTCCTTGTATCGTCATTCAGTAATCCATCTTTCTCGTTATTCGTTATTTTGCGCACTCTGCAAGTTCATTCATAACATTCCACCGATACCGTTTGTTACAACACAAGCGAACTGAAACAGATCAAAAGGCTCTCATATCTCGTATACCCAAATACGATCCAGGACATGTAGAATAATCACGCAATTGGTCTCCCTCCAGCTCCACGCCCTCCACAGTGTGGTTTCCCTTGCACATAGACTGTTAGAGAAAGAAAAGAAACAATTAGGTCAACACGTTATATATTGTAACAACATATTGAATATGAGCATGCATGTACATGAAGTGGACTTACCAGTGAAGCAGAGGCACCAAGCACATCGCAAGGCTCCGGTGAGATTGGAACGCACACGGGGCGATTCTCCTTGCGCCAGTCGATCTGAAAGGCGTGGATCACAGCCACCGCCATGGAGTACCCGTCAATACCGGCCAGGCTTAGGGCCACCCAGCCGAAGGACGAGAAGTCTGAAATGAGAATGCGGTCCCTGTGAGGAGGGGAAGGAAGACATTTTGGGGTGTTGGGTTGGGAACGCACAAGAAGGGTGCTGAAGACACAACCAAAAGCAGAGTGAATTGCATAAAGGAAGGTCTGCAAAGACGAGTGGAAAGCTAATGTAAGAGTAGGCATGCGGACAAACATAGAAAAGACGGAGCCGAGCCAAACGTCTGATCGTTACACCCGAAGTGTGAAGGAACAACCAAAACAAAAATAAGCGAAGTGAGGGCAAGGAAAGGGAGTGGACGAAGGGAATGCAAAAGAGGCTGAGGAGCCACATCTCCAGGACGGCGAACTCCAACTATTCTAAGCCGCCTCAGATAATTAACAGAAAAAAGAACGAGCGTGCAAAAAAAAAGGAGCATACGAGAAGCTGAGGAGCCACATCTCCATGACTGCAAACTCGAATTGTGTGTCGGTCCATTTCTCTGCCCTCTGATCGCTTAACCTGACAGGTGGGAGAGTGACAGAGTGGCAGAGGGGCAGAGTGGCAGAGGGGCAAACACAACAGAAGCCACATGATCCGGTGTCGGTCCATTTCTCCGCCCACTGACCACTCAACCTGACAGGTAGCAGGCGAAGGAACACACACAGAAACATCCACACAAGAGCGGAAGTGCACCCGTGCATGAGCTGTGCATAATGAATACGATCTTTGAACATGCAAATATATATATTTAGAAAAAAACATAGCATAGACATATTTATACGCGTTCAATTATTCTGTTAAGCGAGTGTACCCACGTGCAGAAGCTGAGGAGGGTGGAGTCATGTGCGCCGTGCAGGGCGTATCGGCCTTGCATGTCCATCCAATGCTGCGCGCTCAGCGATGCCACCACCACCCCCACCGTCCCTCCCTCGCCCTCCGTTCCTTCTTGGCTGTTGCTGTTGGCTGGTTGTGTCTGGAAGGGGGCCATTGGATAGGGAAGGGAAGAAGGTAGAGGAGGGAAAAGGGTGTTTTGTGTACCGTGCAAGGCATATCGGCCTTGCATGTGATGTTGGCTGGCTGTGTCTGGAAGGGTGGTCGGGTTGGGAATATTTAATATAGAAAATCCAAGTACTTAGAAACATATGCATTTCCAGGGATAATCTAGTCTTGCTATGCAAGGACAAAACTTTTGGGGCACCTTAGAAGATAATCCAGTTTTGCTATGCAGTGACAAAACTTGCACTAAATACGATTCAAGGACTCGCTAGAATCACATTTGGGGCGAGGGAGAGAGAAAGTTAACCTGGTTAGAGGAGCTAATGGTAGGGAGGTACCGTGCCACATCAGCAGCACATGAGAGGACACGGTCAGCCAATGGGAGATCAATCCCGAGTGCTGACCGGATCTGAAGAGAGTGGCACATGAGTGCACATATGGGGGGGAATGGGGGGGGGGGGGGGGGGGGGGGGGGGGGGGTGCAGGGGAGAAGAAGGGAGAGGGAGGGAAGGAGGAAAGGGAAGGAGGGGAGAGAGGGGGAGGATAGGGGCTGACTTGGTCCAAGAGGTGCGTATGGCACATCAACTTGAGCTTTGGGAGGGGGATGGACTGGACTGTTAATCTGCACCTCACTGCACCTCACTGTACCTCACGATACCTGGCTGCACCTGTGTGTCAACTGCAAACCTGGAATTGTGCACCATGCTGCACCTCACTGCACCGCATTTTACCGCAGTGCACCTCACTGCAACCTCCTTGCACCATTCTGCACTACCTGAATGCCGACTCTGTGGGAGTGGTGCGCCAGGTTGGCATGAAAAAGACGAGTGATCGCCGCCCAGAGCCGGTTGTCGGGGTGCAGAAGAAACCGAGCAGTGTGAGTCAACACACGATGGTCGGGGAATAGCTGATTCAGAGCTGTCTGGTGGGTGGTAAGAGGGAGTGAGGGAGGATGTGGGGTGAGTAGGAGTGAGGAACCAAGCTGTGAGAGTCAACACGCGGTGGTCAGGGATTTACTTATTCAGAGCTGTCTGGTGGGTGGGGAAAGAGGGGTGAGAGGGCGGAGGTGGGGGAAGCAGAAGGAAAGAAGAAACCGAGCGGTGTGGGTCAACACACGATGGTCGGGGAATAATTTATTCAGAGCTGTCTGGTGGGTGAGGAAGGAGGGTGAGAGGGAGGGAGGGAGGAACTGAGCAGGAAAGAGGAAGCGAGCAGTAGTGTGAGTCAGCACACGGTGGTCGGGGAACAATCTATTCAGAGCTGCCTGGTGGGTGGTAAGAGGGGTGAGAGGGAGGAGGTGGGGGGGTGTAGGAGGGACGAACCAAGCGGTGTGAGTCAGCACACGGTGGTCGGGGGAATAATATATTCAGAGCAGCCTGGTGGGTGGAATTAGGGGCGTGAAGGGGGATAGTGGTGGCGGGAAGGAAGAGACGGTAATTGCCGTCCAGAGCTGGTTTCCGGGGTGCAGAAGAAAGCGAGTAGTGTGAATAAACACACAGTGGTCGGGAAATAATTTATTCAGAGCTGCCTGGTGGGCGGGAACGGGGAGCGTGGGAGGGGTTGCAGAGGAATAGGAGTGAGAAACCCAGCAGTGCGAGTCAACAAACAGGGGTCGGGGAATAACGTATTCAGAGCTGCCTGGTGGGTGGGGAAGGAGGGTGAGAGGGAGGAGCTGCCTGGTGCGTAGGAGTGAGGAACCGTGCTGTGTGAGTCAGCACACGGTGGTTGGGGAATGTTTTTTAACATACGGTGTGAGTCACCTCAGCACACGGTGGTTGGGGAATGTTTTTTTAGAATTCTCATAAAACATACGGTGTGAGTCAGCTCAGCACACGGTGGTTGGGAAATAACCTATTCAGAGCTGCCTGGAGCGTGGGGGAAGAGTGTTATTTTGAGAAGCAGGAAACCTATTCCCCGGGGAATCTCAAAATAACACTTTTATCACGTGGCCACAAGGCGGGCGGGGAATAACCTTTTCAGAGTTGCCTGGAGTGTGCGGGAAGAGGGGAGACAGGGGTTTTATAGGTGGTCAGGGTTCTTGAGATGTCTCAAAAACACTCTTCTTTCACGTGGGAAGAGACAAATGTTTGTCAAAAGGCGGTGGTTGGGGAAAGAAGGGGAGAATGCGGGGTATCTCCCCCCTTTTTATTTACCGAAAAAAGGCCCAAAAATTCACAGAAGCACGTACATACACATCTATACATACATACATATAGTGATATAACACGGGGGCTTACAGCGTATGTGGGGAGGTAGTAGAGGCTTGGCACAAAGTAGACATCGATCGCCATGCTCCAAAACACATGAGCGCGCCAGACATGGTTGGTAGAGAGTAGTAGAGGCTCACATGGAAGGTTCTTATATGGAAGGGGCTTACAGCGTATGTGGGGAGGTAGTAGAGGCTGGGCACGAAGTAAACATCGATTGCCATGCTCCAGAAGACAGCTGTGTTGATGCTGTCCCACGCATCCGTGCAAAACGTGTGCGCTCCTCTAGGAAGGCACAAGCACATGGACAAGGGAGAGACACGCACAGGAATGGGATGGGTGCAGATAAAGAAGCAGACGGGTTAAAGTATCCATGCTCCAAAAACACGGCTGCGTCGATGCTCTCCCATGCATTTTTGCAGAACGTGTGCACGCCTCTGGATACAAAGTGGATACAGAAAACATGGATACGGAAGAGATGCAATACTACACACAGGAATGCGATGGGTAAAAATGCAAGAAACGAAACGAAACACCGTGTGCAAGAATGCAAGAAACGAAACAACGTGTGTGTGTGTGCCTTCCCCCCACTCCCTCGCCCTTATAGGGTTGTCCGATGAATGTTCTTGGTTTCAAATATTCCACTACCCCTCCCCCTCACCTCGATCTCCCTTTTCTCTTCCCCTCACCTCCCAGCCACCTGGGTGAATGGTCAGTGCGGTTGCGAAACAACGGGGCCATATCTTCTTTTGAGGGCAGCAGCACCCCAGTCCCACCAGTCCTCCCTTCCTTCCGCGGCCCCACCCCAACCCAAATCCCCCATCCACTTCCTCCCTTCCCCCCGCTCACCTGCCAGCCAGGTGAATGTTCACAGTGTGGTTGCGAATCAGCGCAGCCACCTCTTCCTTCGAGGGTAGGACACTTGAATGCCTCACCTCCCACCCCACCCCACGCCCCTTTCCTTCCCCCCCCTTCTCTCACCTGCCAGCCAGGTGAATGTTCACAGTGCGGTTGCGAATCAACACAGCCACCTCTTTTGCAGACAGCTCCAACATTCCTGCCTCTCCTGCTGCTGCTGCTCCTGCTGCTACTGCTCCTGCTGCTCCTCCCCCTCCTGCTGCTCCTCCCCCTCCTGCTGCTGCTCCTCCTGTTGTTGCTACTCCGCCTCTTGTTGCTGCTACCCCTCCTCCTGCTGCTCCGTCTGGTGCTCCTCGCTCCGAATGGTACTTAACTACGTCTTTAAACTCCAGCGTTCGGTTCTTGACCACGCCAATGAACGAGCTGCACAGCGGGAGAGGAGTGAAACGGGGAGTTGATTTGTTAGGCAGGCTCCTCCAAATTCCGCTAACCCCGAGTGTGGTATTTAACTACGTCTTTAAACTCCAGCGTTCGGTTCTTAACCACACCAATGAAGGACTGTAGCAGAGAGGATAGGACGGAAAGATGGAGTCGTGAGGAATACCTATAACCAGTCTGCCTGTAACGGGGATGTCTGGGCCAAACAGCACCCATTAGCCGGCCATGGCAGCGGCTAGGAGGTGGAGGAGTTGGTGCTGAAGGGATTGCTTGCAGAAGCTTGGCTCTTAAGTGAATGGGAATGTCATAACCGGGCTGCTTAATAACCGGGCTGCTTTATAACCGGGCTGCTTTATAACCGGGCTGCTTTATATGGGAATGTCTGGGGCAAAACGCACTTGTGACAGCGGGCCAGGGCAGCGAACATGAGGTGGAGGAGTTGAAGGGGTTGCAGAAGCGGCGAACGGCGAAGGACCAGGGTGTGGTGATGATGGCCCGCTGTATCAGTAGGAATGTCTGGGGTGGGGCAAAACGCACCTGTGCACAGGCAGGGGCAGCGACCATGAGGTCGAGTTGTTGAAGGGGTTGCAGAATCGGCGAACTAGAAAGGACCAGGGCGCGGTGATGATGACTCGCTTTGAGAGTAAGGGCTCACACAGGGAGCGTCTCATCTCATCGGCACTGACTATTTGCCTCACCTGTGAGCGGACCAGGGCAGCAACCACGAGGTGGTGAGTCGAGTTTTGAGTCGACTCAAAACTTGACTCACCTGTGAGCGGGCCAGGGCAGGCAGCGACCACGAGGTGGAGGAGTTGAAGGGATTGCAGAATCAATCTGACTTTTGAGTGAGACAGGTCATTAAGCAGTGTGCTTATATTGAAAGCACCTCGCTTGTGCACAGGCAGGGGCAGCGACCACGAGGTGGAGTTGTCGAAGGGATTGCAGAATCGGTTTGGCTCTCGGGTGAGATTAGTTTCTAACCAGTGCGGCAGTGCGCCAGTGCGGCAGTGCGGCAGAGTGCTTATATCAAAATGCGCACCTGTGCACAGGAAAGGGCAGCGACCACGAGGTGGAGTTGCCAAAGGGGTTGCAGAATCGACGGACCACAAAGGACCAGGGCGTGGTGATGATGGCTCGCTGTGTGATGAGCGCCAATATGAACGCATTCACGTGGTTCACTAGCCGGTTGCCCAGACCTGTTGGGGGTGAGGGAAGAGGGAAATGAAGGTATTGGGGAGCAGAAGGACCAGGGCGTGGTGATGATGGCCCGGTGGGTGATGAGCGCCAGCACAAACGCATTCACGTGGTTCACTAACCGGTTGCCCAGACCTGATATGGGGGTGTGAGGGGCGAGAGAGGGGAAAGAGGAGGTTGCAAAGAGGGGAAAGGGGAGTGGGAAGAGGGGAGCAGAAGGACCAGGGCATTGTGATGATGGCTCGCTGTGGGATGAGCGCCAGCATGAACGCATTCGCATGGTTCACTAACCGGTTGCCCAGACCTGATACGGGGGTGTGAGGGGCGAGGAGGGAAAAGAGAGTGGGGAGATAGGGAAGACAGGGGAGATGATGGCTTGGTGTGTGATGAGAGCTAGCACCAACACATTCGCGTGGTTCACTAACCGGTTGCCCAGACCTGATGGGAAAGGTGAGTGTGAGAGTTGCGGTGGGGGAGGAGGAGACGAGAGGGAGAAGGAATATGGAAGTGCAAGGGTGTAGGCGGCGGGTGGAGGTGGGAAGGGGAGGGGCGGCTTCTAAGGACCAGGGCGTGGTCATGATGGCATGGCTCATGGCTTGGTGGGGTGGGGGAAGGTCCGTATAGAGTGAGGAAAGGGGTGGAAAGTCACAGGTGGAGTGGGGGAAGGGGGGAATGGGGAAGACACCCACCTCGGGGGAAGGGAGGGACGTAGATGTACTGGCATGGCTTCCTGTCTGTTCCGTATCGAGGCCTGTCCTTGTCCCTGTTGGTGTGGGCAGGTGCATAGACGGATGGATGCATGGATACATGGATGCAAGAGTGCATGGGTGCATGGGTGCAGGGATGCATGGATGCATGGGTGCAGGGATGCATGGATGCATGGGTGCATGGGTGCAGGGATGCATGGGTGCAGGGATGCATGGATGCATAGGTGCCTAAATGCATGTTGCAGACGCACCAGCGCACACTTTTCCCCACCTCTCCACTCCCCTCCCCTCTCCTCCTCTGCCAGTTCCTTTCCCGAAAATGCAGTCAACAGTCATATCGCTCTGCACCCATTCCCACTCCTCGCTTCTCCCAGTCAGTCCCCACTCCCTCTGCATTGCCCAATGCGACCGCACTGCCTCACTCCCTCACTCACAGACGCACACTGTCTCCCACTCACAGACGCACCAGCGCAACTCCCCCCACTCTCTTCCTTCTTCCTTTCTCAGAAAATCACTCACCAGTCACCACTCCGCACCCACTCCCACTCCTCCCTTTTCCCAGTCCCCATGCACTCCCTCTGCATCGCCTCATGCGCCCGCACTGCTGCTTGGAAGGCTGCTGACGGGGGGTCTGGGTTCGCCTGTGTGGGAAAGGGGAGAGAGGAGGGAAAAAGAAGCAAGCAATCGACCACAGGTTTGAAAGGGTCTGAACCACTGCAAACTTGAACTTTCACTTCCGCTGCATCTCGAAGTGACTTTTGCATACCGTGTGGTACAGGTGCCGCTTCCCCTTGCTCCAGCACGCCTTAGTGTTGTTTATAGTGCACACATGCACTCACACATGCACTCACACATGCACTCACACATACACTCACACATGCACTCACACATGCACTCACACATGCACTCACACAGGCACTCTGTTATTCTCACCGTGTGGTACAGGTGCCGCTCCTCCTTGCTCCAGCACGCGCCCTCTCTCCTCCACCTCATAGCACCCATCGCTGCAGGCCTCTCAAACCTCGACCTCTGTCAAACCTCGACCTCTGTCAAACCTCGACCTCTGTCAAACCTCGACCTCTGTCAAACCTCGACCTCTGTCAAACCTCGACCTCTGTCAAACCTCGACCCCTGTCTGTAGCTCGGCCTCCCACCACCGCGCTCTTCACATTCGTTCACCAATTCTCACCGTGTGGTACAGGTGTCGCTCCTCCTTGCTCCAGCACGCGCCCTCTCTCCTCCGCCTCATAGCACTCATCGCAGCAGCCCTGTCGAACCTCGACCCCTGCCTGTAGCTCGGCTTCCCACCGCCACCATCTCTCTCCCCTGCGTTACCCTCTGCCATTCCCTCCGGCTTTCCCTCTGCCTTTCCCTCCGTCTTTCCCTGGGAGGTCGCCACACCTGGAATGACCTCCCAGTCCCCCCTCTCCCAGTGCTCCCCACCCCTACCTCGCTCCTCCGCCTTCCCACCGCCCTCTTTCACCCCTGCGTTTCCCTCCGCCTTTCCCTCCGCCTTTCTCTCCGCCTTTCCCGGGGAGCTCACACCTGGAATGACCTCCCAGTCCCCCCTCTCCCAGTGCTCCCCACCCCTACCTCGCTCCTCCTGCGTCCTTTCTCCCTCGTTTCTACTTTGCTCACCCTCTATTTTCCCCGAATTTTCCTCCTGCTGACCGGCCGTTTCCTGTGGTGGACTTTTTCTGCCCGAACTTTTCTCCTCCCGTGGAGTCGCTTGCGCCTCCGTGCCACCCGGCGCTTGCCCCGGCGGTGGTTGCGCTTCCTGCAACGGCGGCATTGACGCTTTCTGCGGCGGCGGTTGCGCTACATCTTCTCCTGATCCCAACGCCTGGGCCAGCGCATGTTCGTCAGCCCACACCTGTCCAACTCTTTGCCCCTGATTCGTAACTTTCCCCACACCTTGTTCCTTGCCTTGCACTTGTTGCTGCTGCTGCTTCTGCTGCTTTTCCTGATGCTGCTGCCATTGTTCCGGCTGCTGCTTCTGCTGCTCCTGCACCAACTGCACGGATTGTGTCTGCGGTTTGGCTGCCTTTTTCACGAGGAAATCACCCAGGACTTTATCCTGCCCGCCTTCAGCGAATAAGTAGAGCCCCAGACGCCTCCTAGGAATGAAGGCTCTAAGCTGAGCTTGCGCTAGAGACTCGCCATATCGCGGCGACTGGTTTGCGACAGGCTGATTCGCATGAAACGTGTAATCAGACGGGAGAATAACGTGTGGAATAGACGGGAATGTAACGTGAAATTAGACCGGGAGAATAGGAAAACAGCGAGGAATTGCTTCAAAAATCTATTTTGAGGGCCTCGAGTGACATGATCGACAGCAAGGTAACATGATACATTGAACGCTGAAGCAACGGGATACATCGAAAGCACTGAAAGAGCTGTCGTCCCTAATGAAACAAGACAGTAGCGCGTTTATGACCTAGGGCATACCTTGGCGTTTGCGTAGCGAAGCGCGAGCAGCGTAAGTGACAGAGTGGCGACGAGTAATCGGCACTGTATTCGCGTGAATAATTGCGACTTTATTGATGATCGCCCATTTATTCGCGGATTCAATTGCCTCCGCATGCTGCTTGCTGATTGGCTAGCTGCTATTGCTGTCTCTGCTACAACTGCATCGACCGAGCTAGCTCTTAAGACTGTCGGCATTCCCGATGATGTTGCGGGTAACTAGGACAATACCTGTGAAGAAGCGGAAGTAATAAATGCATGGCTGAATACAATTCTTCAACAGCAGGGAGACGCCTGAAAATGGGGGTGCTGGTTCTGATTTAACATAACGTTGCCATCCGCATATATTCCGACCAGACAGCCAAGTCACAGAAACCGCAGAGACCGCTGTCTCTTCTTTAGAGCTCTTGTCAACAAGCAACATGTCAACTCAAGTGATAGGTATACATTTGCAGACATGCCTTGTACCAGCAAAAGCAGACAGGTTTGCTGGAGGTGCTGGTGTTGATGCTGGGAAGCTCCTACCAACTTCGACGAAACGGTTAATCAAGGTACAATACGTTCTGAAGCAGGTTACATCGGTTTGAGACCGCTAATAAGGCTTTTAGAATCTCAGAAAGCAAATAGACAGATTTTCCAGCCTCGGGAACTGCGTGTTTGGTTGGGGAAGCCGGTTGGGGTGGTTCGGCACTTTTGCCTGGAAAGGAGTTGCCGATGAGTTATATGCGAAGCTATGCCGCCCAATCCCCTCACAGATGACAACCAAAATCGGTGGTTGTTTCGTTGATTGGTTGGGAAGGGCGCTGAATCACGCTGCGGCCAGGACGACTCGCGGTGCGGTGCGGCAAATCCACACGGCGTGACAAAAACGATGGGCTTAAGTAGCCTTTTTACTTTTTTTGGGTTGCGAAGCAACCTATTACAATCGATTTGGCCAGTTTTTTTCTCACATTTTCATATTTTATTTATTTAAAATAAAACATGAAAAGAAACTGGATACACTAATTGTTAGTTTCGTAACCAATGAGAAGTTATGCCTAGTTCAACTATACTAGTGTAATGGTAGTGATTTTTTAGACAGCTAGGTTGTTATTGCGATTAACTATATTGTGATTTATTACCTTGTAATATGCACATAATATAATGAGATGAATATAATGACTGATGACTATAGATGAACTAATATGATATTAAAATATGATATATTATATAAAATATAATACGATAAATGATATTTACTTACTTATTACTGACAAGCCATAATGCATATTTTTATATGATAGAGATGCGTGAAAGCTAACGATCCAAAAACTGTGCTACCGCATCCTCTGCCTAGCATGGGGAGGAGCCAATAGCATAATCTTTGAACAATCAGCATTCACATGAAACAACACAATCTGTGAACTCTAAAAAGATGGTCAACTTTATCAAATCCAGTTCAAGTGGGCTCCCGACAGGCGCGCCAATGAACCTTCTAATGAAATGATAGACTTGATTCACCTTTTTAAAACCCACAGACATGCATTGTTGATGCAAATGTAAATGGACATGAATGCACACACACACACACACACACACACACACACACACACACACACACACACACACATATGCAAACACAACCACGCACGTCCGCACAGAAACATCTGAAGGAAACAAACAAAAAAACATGCAAGGAAATTTACCAGAACAATATAATAATCCTACAGATCATCAACCACTGTTATTGTTTCATATGCCAACTGAAACTTGACTTTTTGAAAGATACAGCAAAGCCTGTGAGGAGAAAACAAGGAGAGAAATGGGGAATAGAATGGGCAAAGGGAGATATGTATAATGAAATAACCAATGAAAACAATCAGGAATAAAAGATAACGGAAAATAAAACGGACCTGTAAGAATCAGCAAATACACACTTGAACATCACGGAATAAAGTTGGAATCAAGGCACCAAAAGAACAAACGCCTACAAACCACATACTAAACTGATGGTGCTTATTAAGAAACGACAAGGAAGGGCCATAGAAAGGGGGCGGCTTGTTAACTACGTTTAGATGAAAACAGAATTGGCAAACATATTGCTAACGAGGTGGTGCATAAACTAAGACGAAAAGAGATGGATTAAGAAGAAACAATATTTACGAACAGAAGGAATGGTGAATTAGAGCAAGAGACGAGAGAAATGATTCCAGAATGAAAAATTCGCTATTCTGCGCCATCCTAGTTTAAAAAAATGTACGATAAAAAGGACCAACAATACATGGTCGAAATGAACAACAGGCTCTAACAAAAACCAGAAGGTTTCCTTTCGTTTTCTCTCACGCTCAGTATCGCTTTCTCGGCCATTTTCTGTGTCACTACTCTTCAGCTCTCTTCTCTCTCCCCCTCTCTTTCGCAATATGATGTTCAAACTTAAACTCACCGTTAGCCAAAGGAGTGAGACAACGATGTGTTTACCATTTCCGGCAAGCAAATGGTGGGACATAGAAGCAAATCAAACACCTACAAAAGACCACATCAAGTTTAATCAACTGCGGTCTCAAAATGAACCTACAGAGTAGAGGAGATCATGTAACTTTTCTAGCATTTACTTCGAATTGGGCTGCAACCAAAAAACGACGTAGCAGAATGGGTTGCAGCCCTTGAAACGGACATCAACACAAGAATTAAAACGACATACTACTAGGTCAAAACGGGCTTGAAACCGGCATAAATCAATGAGAATAGGTGCAGCTTATCAACGACCTAAAATACTACCATTAGATGCGCTGAGATTAATGACTAAAATTGATACTGCTTCTTACCGTCAGCTAACGAAGTTCTAAGATACGCTAAACTATATGACTAGAATAAGAGCCTGCATGGTAAGGTCTAGGTGGCAGCTTAATTTTCTTACCTGTTGAGTGGTAGGAGGAGCATGAGTGGCGGGAGGAAACATAACTAGGCATCTCTCACGATTGGAAAGCGGGAGAAAGAGGAAACCAAAACGAAACCCTGAGGCAGTTCACGCGCAACAGTAAATAACGCAATAGCTCAACGCGACTTTAAACGCAAGTCTTGTAGCATAGTGGTTTCCAAAGTTCGCCAGTCCATATGTGCTGGGTTCGATACCTGAAGTAATCGTTTTGCAGTTTCTGCTAAACAAACATTCTATATCAGATAAGATAATAACACTCCTAGGCATTCAAGGTTGAAGATAAGATGTATATAAAAACCGGATATGTGAAAAACAGCTTCGCAACCCGAAGACGATTTCGTCGCCTCTTGTTTTTTTTTTGGTAGGTGAAAATGCATTATACAACGTACAATGCAAAACACCGTCGGTCGTACCCTCGCAGAAATCTACGGAGGCTTTTAGACCAAACGCCTAAAAACTTCAACTTGCCCGCCACAAAATCTAACTATGCCGTTGCCACACTTCAACTCTGGCAGAAACGCCTCGGTAGGTTCCAGGTTCTGTATCTGTTGCTTCAGCTTGGAAGAATTGGCTCCGAGCCTGCCCTGCCGTGCCTTGTAAAAAGGTTGGGTTCCAACAGAGAAAACCCTGGTTCGAAATTGCTGCCGTGCAGGACTTTGGTGTCGGATGTTCAGTCTTGGTCCTTTGGCTCCAAATCTGATTCACCGAGAGTGGTGGGGTTGGGTTGGGAGAGCAGAAATTGCCCTGGTTCGAAGTTGCTGCCTAGCAGCTGTGCCCCGTACACCAAAGCCTCCTATGGCAGGCAGTTGCATGAGCTGAATGCTGGGGGCAACCCCCACTTTCTGAGGGAAGATAGGAGCAGCTGCATCCGCGACAGAATTTTGAGTAGCTTCACACACCGCAGTCGTAACGTGGCGCCATAGCCCTGTTTCCTCCAGCGACATAGGCTTATCCTGAAAATGTTCTTCCGTAGAATCCACCATGATATGCTTCTTCATGTCAGCATCATGTTGCCATAAGTTGTCGCCAAGAAATATACAGAAATTTTCTTCCTGAGTTGATAGTGAAGCCATTCGGAATATTGGTAGTTCTTGAACTGATATGGTCAGAGTCGATCGTTTGGAACATGATCTTGGTTCAGATTCGTAGTTATTCCTTGTCGTGCGTTGCCGTGACGAGCGTGAAGCTCCTGTGAATCGTAAACGATGTAGGAAGGCAGAAAGTGTTGCACTTGTAGTTCTTCGCGGCAGAAAGTGACGGTGGTAATAAACATGTCCGCGAGTAACGAGACGTTTCATTTCTTGTCTCTTGTCGAAGAATGGCAGAGAAGATTGATAGGCGAAAAATATTTGGCGGTCCAGCTGCCTTGTACTTTCTCGTCTCATGTCTTGTGTCTGTGTTGCTTTCCAGGTTCCAGCTTCGATGATGACTTGTGATAAGCCTGGGCATTATAGCTTCCTTAGGGTGCGTTCCTGTGGAGACACTTGTGTCTCAATCCTTTTGTGACACGTAAAACCAGCTTATAACGTACAATGTCACAAACGCGTGTCGCCCTTGTGCGACTTTTAATGTATTTTTCATTTGTCAGCGTGAAACGCGCTGATGTCGCGGACGAGTTGCGTATCGACCCGTCATTGTCAACAACTCTGTACGCGGTTCGAAATGTCAATGCACCTGGACATTCCACAGTAAAAATCTCGCGCGGGAAAAAGTTCCGCTCGTCAAAACCCCACCCGAACCAGACAGTTGAAAAAACAGGTGTTCAGTCAAGTTTGAAATCCAATCAAATTAGGACAGCTGTAAATTTCGCCTGGTCGCACAGTTTCGTGGTACACTCATTTTTTGTGACGCGAGATTGCAAAAATGTGTAGACGCGACTCGGAAAAAAAGGGGATTGAGACACAAGTGTCTCCACAGGAACGTACCCTTAGAGCAACTAAATGTCTTGAGCTTAAAACCAATTTAAGAACCTGAAAACAGATCTTCACAAGAGGAAGTCACGACGAACCAGTGTTCTCTGTTTGAACATAAAGCGGTGTCGAAATCAAGCCCTTGATGAGCAGACCCAAAATATGTATTCAGATCTTGAAGCTGATAAAGGTTAGCTTGACATTGCACGAGTTGAAGTTATCGTAGGAGCCATGGCGGGGAGCTTGTCTGAGCTGATGGATCGGAAAACTGCGGTCGTGGAGTAGCCTTTTCACTCGTTATCGATCGAATGTCTTTGACCCAAGAAACGGACTCCAGAACTTTACAATACATCACTAGATCCATTTAAGGTGACTGTGACAACGTGTAGAATAACGATAAGAATAGTATAAGCTGAAATGGCTCGGTTTATTAGGGTGGGCGAGCATGCCCATAACCCTCCAGATCCTTGCCAGTGAATTTTTAGCCCGATCCCAGTACTCCAGCCAGTCAGATTAGCAGCACCATTTATGAGCAGAATACGAAGGGAAACGCAAGCTGGCAGATTGCCATAACAACCGGCTTAACGTGGTCCTGAAATATCAAGAGGTATGTAGCTTTCACTAGAGTCCGAAACAATGCCATCTGGCACAGGCATATCCGGAGGCTGCAATCCATCCTCCAGGCCTGTGTTGTGCCACAGCTGCCACCGGCACGCCAGGCCAGTCCCCTGCAGCATGGTCACACACTCGCTCATGGTGGGCCGGTCTGAAGGGGACTGCTGCAGACAGAGCAGAGCCACCTGCAGGAAGACCTGTAGAAAGGGGGGGGGGAGGGTGTGGAGGGGAGGTGAGGTGAGGGGGAAGGGAGGGATGTGGTGGGAGAGTGTAGGGACACGGTGGGGCAGTTGAGGGGGGGAGAGGGGGAGGTGAGGGGGGAGGGAGGGATGTGGTGGGATAGTTTAGGGACACCGTGTGGGATTGGGCAAGCTGGGCCCACGCCCTGCAGCATGGTCACACTCTCTCGCTTATCCCCTCTGATCCATCTCAAACACGCCCTCAACTCCGTTCACACACCCCACTCTATATATTCACGTGTATGAAAAAGTGTTTTGAGACGTCTCAAAACACTTCTTCAGTCACGCCCTCGACCCCATTTCAACCACACCCTCAACTCCGCTTCACAAACCCCATTCTATATATTCGTCAACCCCTCAATGCCAATGCACTCTTACCAACCAATCATCACCCCCCTCCTGCCAGCCGCATCCCGCTCAGCTCATCTGCACTTCCAAAGGGTCGCAGTTGGAGGGGTGGGATCGGATTTGCACGTCCACCAGCGTCGCCACATGCCCCTGCTGCATCTCCCTTGCCCCATCTCTCACCCACCCTCTCACACACCCTCTCACACACCCTCTCACACACCCTCTCACACACCCTCTCACACACCCTCTCACACACCCTCTCACCCACCCTCTCACCCACCCTCTCACACACCCTCTCACACACCCTCTCACACACCCTCTCACACACCCTCTCACACACCCTCTCACACACCCTCTCACACACCCTCTCACACACCCTCTCACACACCCTCTCACCCACCCTCTCACACACCCTCTCACCCACTTCCATCCTCACCTGCACTTCCAGAGGGTCGCAGTCAGCCGGGTGCGATCGGATTTGCACGTCCACCAGCGTCGCCACATGCCCCTGCTGCATCTCCCCCGTCACCCACTCCCACAGCGACATCTCATCTCCTTCCTCCTTCTCACCCCCCTCCTCCCTTTCCTTCTCCCCTTCCTTCCCCCCCTCCTCCAGTCTCTCGTCATTCTCCTTGGCTAGTCCTCCCTTCTCCTCCTCTACTCTCCCTTCCCTCTCTGTTCCTCCCTCCTCATCCTTACCCTTCCTCCCTTCTTCCCCCACTCCTTCGCCCCCTCTCCCTCTTTCTCTGTCTTCACGTCTGGGATTAGGTGCACTTTTGCTCATGGGCAGGTCGAAAACGCTGCAGCCAGCAACCAGCTCCACTAGCAGCACGCCGAAGCCGAACACGTCAGTCTTCTCCGACCACTTGCCAGTATTGTAGAGCTCTATAAGGGGTACAGCGGGGGTACAGCAGGGGAAGGAAGGAAAGGGCAAAGAAGAAGGAAATGGGTGCAACTAGCAACGAGCTCTACTAGCAGCACACCAAACACGACAGTCTTCTCCGACCTCTTGCCAGTGTTGTAGTGCTTTATAAGGGGTACAATGGGAGTACAGTGGGAGAAAAGGGTGAAGAGGGAAATGGGTGCAGCCAGCAACGAGCTCCACTAGCAGCATGCCGAAGCCACACGCCAGTCTTCTCCTACCAATTGCCAGTATTGTAGAGCTCTATAAGGGGTACAGCGGGGGGAAGGGGCAAACACGGAAAACGCTGAAGCCAGCCAAACACGTCAGTCTTCTCTGACCACTTGCCAGTGTTGTAGTGCTCTATAATGGGGATAGGAGACCAGGGTCGCATGGACAAGAAAGCAAAGGATGACAATACTGCGACAGGGCGCATGAAATTAGAAAAAAAATGGTTTTCCAGGTATTACATTATGGCTACTCAGAAACGCGCGCAGTTGCGGTCACCCAGTAGTATTGACATGTTTTCTACTAGGACCGGGCTGCACACCTTGTACAACTCTTGTGCTCATTTCAGCTAATACAATATTATGCCCTCTAACACCCTACAAGGACATAGATTCTTTCACTGAGTGCTTGCCTCCAGAGGCTAATGAGAGGAGCTTACCTGGAGCCAGGTGGCCTAGGGTTCCCCACACTGCTGCAACAGACTAGGCAATCAGCGCAGCACTAAAGGCTTGAGCAATACAGTGATTTCCTCAAGAGGCTAGCATGAGGGGAGCTTACCTGGAGCGAGGTGGCCTAGCCTAGGGTTCCCCGCACTGCTGCACCCAAGTTCTGGTGCCGCTGCTGCACCAGACCAGGCAATCAGCGCAGCGCTCACGGCTTGAGCATTAAGGTGCTTTCTTCAGATGATCCCTGAATGAAGGAGTTTACCTGGAGCGAGGTGGCCTCGCCTAGGGCTTGCCGCACTGCTGCACCCAATTTCTGGTGCTGCTGCTGCACCAGACCAGGCAATCAGCGCAGCGCTAAAGGCTTGGGCAAAGGGTGCCTTCCCAAAGGCTAATGAGGGGAGCTTACCTGGAGCCAGGTGGCCTAGGCTAGGGCTCTGTGCTCTGCTGCACCAGACGAACAGCGCAGCGCTGAAGGCTTGGGCAAAGGGTGCTTTCCTTATAAGGGAAAGGAAGGCGTTTACCTGGAGCGACGTGGCCTAGGGTTCCCCGCACTGCTGCACCAGAGATCACCTATGGATGGCTACATGTGTCCCTGACACTATCCTAGCCATGCCAAATGCCAGATCACAGGGTGAGCTTTCCTCAAAGGCTAGTGAAGGCAGGGACCTGGGTGGCCTAGGGTTCCCAACACTGCTGCACTCAGATTCCAATTCCACTGCTGCACCAGACGATCGGTGCAGAGTTAAAAGCTTGAGCACAAGTGTTTACTTGGGGCCAGGTGGCCTAGCGTTCCCCGCACTGCTGCACTGGGTCTGTTTCCCCTGGCAGCCGAGGGTATTACGTCGACTTCTTATGAGGCGCCTCAAATTTAGATTCCTCAAGAGGCTAATGAGGGGCACTTACCTGGAGCGAGGTGCCCTAAAGTTCCCCGCACTGCTGCACTGGGTCTGTTTCCCCTGGCAGTTGAGGGTATTACGTCGACTTCCACCAGCTTTGACAGGCCAAAGTCGCAAATGACCGGGTCGTTGTCCTCCGATAGCAGCACATTCTCGGCCTGCGCGAGGGGGAAGGGTGGGGAGGGGAGGTATGGGAGCGACATGAAGGCAAGGGAAGGGAGAGTGGAGCATCGAAGTGTTAGGACAGGCCGAAAGTCGCAAATGACCGGGTCGTTGTCCTCTGTTAGAAGCTACGTGTAATGAGGTTATTTTTGAGACGTCTCAAAAGTCGCAAATGACTGGGTCGTTGTCCTCTGTTAGAAGCACATTCTCGGCCTGAGAGAGCAAACGGGAAGAGGGGGGAGGGAATGAGTCTCGGAGTGCAGTCAGTGTGCATGTATGCCAGCCCCTCTGCTATGATCGTATGCTATTTCCTGTTGCCCTAACTCACTCACTCACTCGCTCCCTCTCTCACCTTCATATCGCAGTGAATGAGTCTCGGAGTGCAGTCAGTGTGCATGTATGCCAGCCCCTCTGCTATCCCCAGAACGATCTTCCTCCTGTGCTTCCACGTCAGCGGTGTTTTGTCGTCTCTCATTTTGCCACCTGGCGTGTGTGTATTGGCACGTTGGGCGAGGGGAAGAGAGGGAACAGGCGAGTTTTGAGGAGGGTTTCTTTGCAGTCAGTACCCGAACAGACCACCGCACTCCCTGCCAGACCACTGTTTGTCCTACCTGCACCACACCCAACCGCTCACCTTTGAGGTAGTCAGCAACGGAACCATGCGGCAGGAAGGGGAACACCAGCGCCCGCTCGCCCCTCTCCACGCAGAAGCCCTCCAGGCGCAGCAGGTTGCGGTGCACGGCGCCACTGATGGCATTCACCTCGTTTATGAATGCCTCCTCGCTGCCCCGCCTCTCTTTCTAGGTGTGGGGAAAGAGGAGGAGCAGGGTGGGGGCAGGGGAGGGGCAGGGCAGGGGAGGGGAGGGGACCAATGTATGCAGGCCTGAGCAGGTTGCGGTGCACGGCGCGGCTGATGGCATTCACCTCGTTCATGAATGCCTCTTCGCTGCCCCGCCTCTCTTTCTGGGGGTGGGGGCAGGGCAGGGGAAGAGGGAGGGAGGGATCACACCAGCCAGTACCCCCCTTTCCCCAGCAGCTGACTACTGCTGAACCAGCTCGTTGCCTCGTGCAGGCGATTCCAGAACTCACAAAGCATCCTCACCGCAGCAGCGAGCAGCAGCACAGCTTAACTTCAGTAGCTTTATTACCACCTGCTTGCCATACCTGAGGCTGCCTCGGTACACCAGTCCATACCACCCCCCCCTCCCTCCCCCAGCAGCTGGCTGGCAGCTGCTGAACTGAACGCCCTCGTTGCCTTGCAAGCATCACTCCATAGCAAGCCACGGAACATCCTCACAACTTAACAGCTTGAACCTACCTTCAGTACTTTATTGCCACCTGCTTGACTTGCCGTCCCTGACGCTCCCTCTATACACCCGCTCGTTGCCTTGTGCAGGGCCATCCAGAGCCTACCACCACTGAGTGAACAACTTGAACGGCAAGCAGCGACTCACCTTGAGCAGTTTGACCGCCACTTGCTTCCCCTCCCTGAGGCTCCCTCTATACACAAGCCCATAGCCCCCTTCCCCCAGCAGCAGACCGCTGCTGAACCCGCTCGTTGTCCTGAGATGGTTCCTCCAGAGCCTAATACCACAGAACATCCTCAACAGCAACCGCGTACCTTGAGCAGCTTGATTGCCACCTGCTTGCCATCCCTGAGGCTCCCTCGGTACACCAGCCCGTACCCCCCCTCGCCCAGCAGCAGGCTGCTGCTGAACCCACTCGTTGCCTTGCGAAGGTCCTCCAGGCGAAACCGCTGCAGCTGCTGCAATTGGCCCAGGATCTCCTCTGTGGGTGGTGAGGGGTAGTGAGGGGTAGCGATGGGTGGTAAGGGGTTGTGAGAGGTAGAGAGAGGTAGAGGGAGGTGTCGTCGTGGGGTCTGGGAGGTAGTAACAGGTTGCCTTGCGAAGGTCCTCCAGGCGAAACCGCTGCAGGTGGCCCAGGATCTCCTCTGCATGGGGTAGCAAGGGGTAGTGAGGGGTAATAAGGGGTAGTGAGAGGTAGAAAGGCGTTGTGGGAGGTGGTAAGAGGTCGACTTGGAAGGTCTTCAGACGAAACCGCTGCAGCTGCTGCAGGTGGCCCAGGATCTCCTCTGCATGTGGTGGCAAGGGATAGTGAGGGGTAAAAAGGGGTAGTGAGAGGTAGAGAGGCGTTGTGGGAGGTGGAGGTAGATTCATAAGGTCCAGCAGGCAAAACCGTTGCAGCTGCTGCAGGTGGCACAGGATTTCCTCTGCATGGGGTAGTGAGGGATTGAGAGTGGTAGTGAAGAATAGCAAGAGGTGGAGAGAGGTAGAGCGGTGTAGTGGGAGGTAGTAAAAGGCTGACTCAAAAGGTCCTCCAGGCAAAACTACTGCAGCTGCTGCAAGTGGCCCAGGATCTCCTCTGCACGGGGTAGTGAGGGGTTGAGACGGGTAGTGAGAGGTAGAGCGGTGTAGTGGGAGGTAGTAAGAGGCTGACTCAGAAGGTCCTCCAGGCGAAACCACTGCAGCTGCTGCAAGTGGGTCAGAAACGTCCCCTGGTTTTTACGAGGAGGTGCCTAGGAACAACAAATTCCCTGCGCAACTAAGCAGACCTTTTGGTACGTCTCAAGTTGATGAGGCAACGGGTGATGTAGCAAGCTCGCACCCAATTCCTCTCTGCTCTCTCACCATGCAACGAGTCATTCTTCTCACCATGCAGCGGGTCATCAATATCGTCCTTCTCCGATCCCTCTTCGCCTCCCGTCATCCCTTGCTTGCTGCCGCCGCCGCTAAACCCTGGCTCTCAAAACTCTACGCCACACCACAAACAAGCTCCCATCCAATCCATCTCAGCTTTCTCACCATGCAACGGGTCATTCTCCTCACCATGCAACGGGTCATTCTCCTCACCATGCAACGGGTCATTCTCCTCACCATGCAACGGGTCATTCTCCTCACCATGCAAAGGGTCATTCTCCTCACCATGCAACGGGTCATTCTCCTCACCATGCAACGGGTCATTCTCCTCACCATGCAACGGGTCATTCTCCTCACCATGCAACGGGTCATTGATATCGTCCTTCTCCGATCCCTCTTCGCCTCCCTCGATTCTCTCCTTCCGCTGCCGCCGCTGCCGCCACCACCACCATGCAGCAGCTAGGAACAGAACAAGACAAACGACGCCAGCCACAATCCCGACAATGATTGGCCAGATGGAGGAGGAGGAAGGTGGAGCCTCTGGCACTGTTGCCGGGATGGTTTGCGCTGCAGAGGCAAAGTCTGCGCTGGGGGGTGCAGGGAGATGCACAGCGGTGCAGAGGGTTGAAAGGGGGGTGGAGAGGACGAGGAAGATGGGGCCTCTGGCACTGCTGCAGCGATGGTTGGCGCTGCAGAGGCAAAGTCTGCACTGGGAGGTGCACGGAGGTGCGGGGGGGTGCAAGGGGTGCCGAGGGGTGCCGGGGGGTGCAGGGGGATACATGGGGGTACAAGCACCATGAGCGGCCAGACGGAGGAGGACGGGGGATATGGAGCCTGCATCGAGCACTGTTGCAGGGATGGTTGGCGCTGCAGAGGCGAATTCTGCGCTGGAAGGGGCAGGAGGAGCAGGAGGAGCAGGAGACGCAGGAGGAGCAGGATGAGCGGGAGAAGCAGGGGAAGCAGGAGGCGGAAGAAACACAGATGGGAGAGCGAGGACGTGGAGAGATACCAAAAAGTGAGTTATTTGCACATGTGAGCCTAAAAAGGAGGATCACAGACAGAACCAGCGCAATTCTTATCACAACAAGAGCACGTGCATGTACCTGGCGGGCAGAAAAGATTGGAATTGCCCGAAAACCTGCACATGTATACGATCACAGAGGTGCATGGCATGGGCAGAATGAGCAGAGGGAATGGACTGTGAATGGATGATTTAGGGAAGGGTTAGACAGGTGGATACGATATTGCTCTTTCCCCTTGAATGCCTTACGGGTCGGCTCAAGAGTTACCCAAGGCATGGAGTGTTCCGAAATGGATGTCTGAGTCAAAAATTAAACGGATGCCTGATGAGAAGGTTATACGGGTCTATATGATACTGCTCCCCCTTATTTTACTATGATTTGAGTCCTCTCGAAACTGGGTTTTGAGACGTCTCAAAACCCTTCTTCAATCAATATGATACTGCTCCCCCTTATTTCACCATGATTTGAGTCCCCTCGAAACTGTTGCCCTTGACCGACAGTTGTTCTCTTACTGGGCTTTCCGCTTCTCTGCTTCACTTACGGATCACATGTCTTGTCCTTGAATGCAGCAGGCACGGTACCAGACAGTCGATTGTTCTGCAACCGCCTGCACATGCAGATGGTCAGGCAAGAAGAGGTATGCGGGAAGGTGCGGGACGGTGAGGGAAGACGGGGGACGGTGAGGGAAGGTGCGGGACGGTGAGGGAAGATGGGGAAAGCTGTGTGAAGGTGCGGGACGGTGAGGGAAGGTGCGGGGCGGTGAGGGAAGGTGTGGGACAGTGAGGAAAGGTGCGGGCCAGAGAGGGATTGAAGAGGACAAGTAGCCTACGTGACCTCAAAGAATGGGTCGAGGGCTGTGGAGAACCATCCTATGCTGTTGCACACTGTAATAAACACATCTCAATCTCCAATGATTGTCATACACTGCTTCATTTGAGACGTCTCTAACTGGCTGTGGGCAGTGGAAAACCATCCGATGCTGAAAACAACACCATAAGAACTACAATATAAATCTGCACTGTTTAAAATACACTCCTTCATGTATCCCTTAGTTAAAGCGCCTCAGTAGAGCTTACAGATCGACAAAACGTGACAGGCAGAGTTGTTGCTCACATCGCATCAGATCCCAATCCAACACTAAGGTGCACTTCAGAGACTTCTTAAGGGCGCATTCCTGGCTTCGGGTCATCCTGTCTTCATGTCATCCGAAATTTGTGGAATCCAATCAAAAAATTCGAAGCTCAAACCGCGGGTTTTCCGATTGGCTATCACAAATTTCGGAAGACCCAAACCACGGATGACCCGAAGCTAGGAATGCGCCCTAAGACCAGCTTACAGGTCAACAACGCGTGGCAGGCTACCAACAGCCTTCACTCCTCCTATGAACGAGTTGTTGCTCAAATCCAACACCCTCAGATCCTTCAGCTCGCCCAGTGCGTCCCATGGCTGCAAGCGGGTGTTGGGGTGCGAGGGGGAGTGGGAGAGTACATGAAAAGCAGGCAGGCTGCCAGCAGCCTTCACTCCTCCTATGAACGAGTTGTTGCTCAAATCTTACACCCTCAGATCCTTCAGCTCGCCCAGTGCGTCCCATGGCTGCAAGCGAATGGCAGAGAGGAGAAAGCGAATGGAAGAGAAAGGGAGAGAGCGAGGGAGAGAGCGAGGGAGTGAGTGAGTGAGCGAGCGAGGGACAGAACGGAGGAGAGAGTGAGCGAGCGAGCGAGGGAGAGAGCGAGGGAGAGAGTGAGCCAGCGAGCAAGGGAGGGAGCGAGGGAGAGAGTGAGTGAGCGAGTAAATGAGTGAGTGTTCAACGACTTGATGAGCCAGTCAAGTGTCGCATCCCCCGAAGCCTTTTCTTCTCAGCATCCTCAGAACTATGAATGCCTTTGTTGGGCTGCACTCACAAGGTCAGGCTGTTGGTGAGGTGAGGGTAAGGTTCCGCTCAAAGCAAGTAACATCCGCAAAATCAACATGACATAGAAAAGAAGTGATTTTTAAATATTCACAGGGAACAGGTTGGGCTGCACTGACAAGGTAGATAGTTGGTAAGGTTATTGTCTTCCTCATAGCAAGTAACATCCGCAAAATCAACATGATGTGCTACGTTAATATAACCATGTGTGTGTGTGTGTGTGTGTGTGTGTGTGTGTGTGTGTGTGTGGGTGTGTGTGTGTGTGTGTGTCATGTGTGTTGATGAGGCGCAGCCACTGCAAGATACAGTCACTGTGAGATTCAGTCACTGTGGAGTATAGTCACTGTGTGGTATTGTCATTGTGTGATGCATGGTTGGGGCTCACCACTTCACCTGTCATTTGAGTCAACTCAAAAGTTTGAGTCGACTCCATAGTCACTGTGTGGTATCGTCATTGTGTGATACATCATGCATGGTTGGGGCTCACCACTTCACCTGTCATATTGTTGTCGTTTAGCCTCCTGCAGATGTGAGGTCATGAGCACACAGACACGCACACCCGCAACCATACATGTACACACATGAGCGTTCGGCGCACGCGCGCGCGCAGACACACACAAGCGCGTGCGCACACACACACCCAGACACCACAAGCACATGCGCGTGCGTACGCACATACCCACCCACCCAACCCCCCCACCCCCCCATCCCCCCACCCACCCCAACACACACACACACACACACACACACACACACACACACAAACACACACACATGCACGTACATTTTCACACGGACACAAAAAGCATATGTAGCATGACATGAAGGCGAGTGCAGTTGAACACATGCATGCAACGCAATCATGCGATGAGGTCATGTATGTACGCACGACAAACACCTCGGCATCAATCAATATACACATCGACAGTTCATGTTCGGTGGCATTTGAGTCGACTCAAAAGTAACCTCGAACACCTCGGCATCAATCGATATGCACATATGTATTTCGTGTTTGGTAAACATTCCAGGCAAATAGCCTCAACTCGACTGGAAGCTATCAAAGCGTTTGTAGAGTATACGCTATAGAGGGGATGGGGTGTAGTACTAACAGTTCTTGCAGGTATGGGAAGAAGCGGATGTAGGGGCTTAAGGTGCCGTTAATATGCGGGACAAACGAGGCCAGGATTCTGGGAGAATATTGGATGGGAAATGCGTGGAGAGAGAGGGGAGCAAAGCGTGCGAAGAAGATTAGGTTTTCTGCGCTGGAACCAGGCCGGCCGCCATGGCTTAAGAAAGTGGTGTACGCAGTGGAAGAATCAACTGTCAGCTTGTAATTGCAGGACCAAATGTCAGTCAGTGTGGCATCACAGGTGAGGTAAGTACGGCATTGCTGCAGGGAGAGTTTGTTGATACAGCTATCTATCTTATACCTTAAAAGGAGCTACTCACAATCGAGTCACGTAGCCTTGTGCATTGCATGCAACAGGAGGGAGCAGGCACGGGTCTCCTCCAAAATAGTCCATGCTCCACTTGTCATAATCGAGGTTCTTAAACGCTGGCAGCACGAAGTTGTACAGGTAAGGGCCTGGCGCATTGATTGCACGGGTTCATAGATACGTAAGAGGGTGACTTGGATCACTTTAAATGCCATAGCATGGATTTCCGAAAGACTTTAGGCACGCTGGTGTGCAGTGGAAGTCCTTGTTTGGTAAGAATACATGGAAATGGCGAGAAATAGTAGGATTCAACTTGTGCAAGTTTAGAAATACAAAACTCCTGAGAGACATGTCAGGTTTATTCCGAGTGGAAACGAGAATGGCGAATGAGCAGACCTTCTTGAGTAGCGAAGACGCCTCTGGAAAGAACGAGCAGCGCTGCGACTAGAATGATGCCTTTGCTCCTTCTTCGCGCTGCGACTAGAACACCTTTGCTCCAGACAACCATGCTGTGGTTACCTCTCTACGGAAACTGATGCCGAAACAGATTATTGAATTCCGGATAAGCCGGAGCAGTAAGTGAAGCTTTAACCTACTACAAGTTCGTTTTACCATGACACAGCATTCGCGTCATCAGAGACTAGCAGCTACCACTCGTAAGTGCAATGACTAGTGAAAGAACTTGGCACTGTAGACTTGTTGACTTCAGAGCAAACAAAAGCCGAATCCTCGAAGCTCACTAACCAGCTCAAGGCCAAACGGAAACGCGATGATCCCAGCGATCAAAGAACTGAGCGACACGTGGACGCTTCTTGGCCGCTCGCACGCTGGTAAAAAACGACCATTACGAAATGTTCCTGAATCATGCATCTTACCCTACCGTCCTTGCTTCAGGGGAGTTTGCTGGTGGTCACCCTGAGGGATTCACATTACATGGTCTGCATGGTTTCCTGCCTCCGATCAGGCTCAGTCACAACAACTTGAGGATGTTCCCTAGAGGACTCCTCCTGCCTTGATGTCATCGTCCAACAGTTTGGCAGCTCTGGCACTACCACTGTTAATATTTGTCCGTCAAGTTTCAATTGACCTTGAAGGTTGTTCATTCTGGTGCGCAATGGTCCGGGTCGATGATAGTCGAAACCGCTCCTAAACAATTTTGACCGCTTACAACCGCGTTTGACGAATTGTTACAAGGTGGCGGTTGTAAATTTCAGTTCGGTTCGGTGCCTGAAGAGGTGGTGGTTGGCAACTTTCGGCTGGGTGAGAAGAAGTTGACGGTTGACCAATGACCGTGAGCTGCCCGTGGTGCACGTCATTGTCAACGGAACGCACATTCGGTTGTCCGGGATTGGGTTGGACCGTATAAAAGCCCGATGTGTGTCAGAGGCGAATTTGTTTTCTACACGGGCGACATGCATCGTTGACAACACCCAGCTCACACGAGCGCGCCTTGAACTGACGAGAGGAGGACGAGAACCACCCAGCACCCCCGCCGCACCCCCACGACATCGCGCTCTAGCATCAGTGCATTTGTTCCATGTTCGATGGTTCCCGCATGGAACCGTACTGAAAACTTCTAGAGTCTTAGATTACAGTGTAATACCGACGGACTTGGACAAGTCCGTCTGCCCCCGTCATTCCCACTCAGTGTGAGTAACACGGTTGTTACCCAGTTTTCGTAGCAGGCAATACACCGCTCAACAAAAGACCGAGGACGACAATCGTCGTTGACACGCAGTACAGTACCCCCACGAGCGCGCCCTGAACTGACGACCGGACAACGAGAACCACCCAGCACCCCGGCCGCACCCCACCACATCGCACAAGCCTCATCAGTGCATTGCTCCAGGTTCGATGTTTACCGCATTGCATCGTACCGGAAAGTTAAAAAGCCTTACATTACCATGTATACCTACGGACTTTGGTACTGCCCGCCTGCAGCTGATCCGCTACCATTAAAGCATCCAACGTACAAAAATTGATGATAGGTATCTATGTTTTACCATTTTGGAGTTCAGTTCTCTTGTTTGTCGATTTTTCCACAAGTTTATTCCTTATTATTGTTGATGCCGAATGAGGCACAATCATCCGACCGTCTGATCATTGCAGGACCAGAATGTCGCGAGTCTTGTCAGTGATTCGCCGCTGGTTTCGCTCCCGGGAAACCAGCGACAGAATCACTGCAAGTTCAGCCGCGTTTCGCGGCGATGGCGCGTTTGCGAACAACCTCAACATCAGCGTGCGCGTTACCTTCCCCGAAGCTTCGTCTCGCCCGCGACCTCTGCGTCTGATGACGCTTTATCTACTCGGTCTACTATTCACGGGTAGTTATCCCCGTAACGAATCGGCATGTGATGAATCTTAACGAGTCTCCTGGTTTGCAAACCCTTGACGACAGCCATGGCGGAAGGGTACGGTTGGGTACCGGGCGGAGAATAATCGGGATGGGCGGAGTGGGTGGAGGAGGAGGAGGAGGAGGAGGAGGGGGAAGTGCTGAAACGGAGGGTGAAATAACGAATGGTACAGTAACGAGTAATGGGGATCAATCAGGAAGTGGCCAGTCGGGAACTCCACCGTCCGTTAATACCAATCGTAATGGTAGTGATAATAGTGAAGGGGAAGGGAGCAAGAGAGAAACGACCCGAGAAAGTGGCGCTACTGCTGAGCTGAGAGCTGAGGATGGCAATTTGCAGGCTGGGATTAACAAGAGGTTCAATGTCGCTGAGAATGAGAGTGTGAGGAAGAGAGAAGAAGAGGTCAGGAAGGAGGAGGAGGAGAGGAGGAAGAAGGAGGAGGAAGAAGCGGAGAAGGAGGAGGACAAGGTGTTTAGATTCAACGATGAGGAGGAAGAGGAGAAGGAGGAAGGGCGGGGAGGCGAGAAACGACACGTAGAGCAGGGAGCTGGGTTGGTAGCAGGATCTTCAGCAGAAGGCGTAGCTGTCGTGAATTGTGAGATGTTTTTTGGGGGGTGGAGTGGGGGGTAGGGGGGGGGGGGAAGAAGGTATGGGGACGGGGAGGGGGTTGGAAACGGGGGGGTGGGGGAGAGGGGAGGTATGGGGAGGGGGAGGGGGGTGGAAAGGGGAAAAGGGGGGGAGGGGAAGGGGAAATGAAGCGTTGAGCCTGCAATCGATACCCCAACACCCCTCCTTCCTCTCGCTCCTTCCCCCTTCCCTCCCGTTCCCCCGACCCCACCACCTCCACCTTCGACCTCCCCCAACCCTCCCTTTCCTTGAATTTTTCCACTCCTCCCCTCGCCCGTGATTGCCAGACCCATCAGCGCGACGTTGTGCTGCACAATCTTCCCTCCCTTCTCATCGTCCCGTGATTGAAGAAGCGTTTTGAGACGTCTCAAAAAACGTCTCAAAAAACGTCTCAAAACACTTCTTCAAACAGACCCATCAGCGCGACGTGCTGCTGCACAAACTTCCCTCCCTTCTCATCGTCCCCCTCCCTGACCCAACCCCATTCCGTGTTCCCTGTTGACCCGTACCAGACCCCTCAGTGGAGAGCGTACGGTCCTGTGAGGAAGTGCGGAGACCCCTCAGTGGAGAGAGTGCGGTCATGTGAGCAAGCTCATCTCCCCTTCCCCTTCCCCCCTCCCCCCTTTCGGACCCAACCCCATTCCGTGTTCCCTGTTGACCTGTACCAGACCCATCATTGGAGAGAGTGCGGTCCTGTGAGGGAGTGGCAGAGGACGACATTGTTCTCCGCATGCTCCTCTCCCCGACGCCCCTCATGCTCACTCCATCCTCCCACCCTCGCCCATCCTCGCCCACTCCATCATGCTCTCCTCCCCTCGCCCATCCTCGCCATGCCAGACCCGTCAGTGGAGAGAGTGCGGTCCTGTGAGGGCGTCGCAGAGGACGACATTGTGCTGCGCAAGCTGCTCTCCCCGACGCCCCTCAAGCTCACTCCCCTCGCCTTCCACCCCTCCCTTCCCCCCCTCGCCCATGCGTGCCATGTCAGACCCCTCAGTGGAGAGAGTGCGTTCCTGTGAGGGCGTCGCAGAGGACGACATTGTGTTGTGCAAGCTGCTCTCCCCGACGCCCGTCAAGCTCACTCCCCCCCCCTCCAACTCCGTTCCCTTTTCTCTCTTGGCACGTATCAGACCCCTCAGTGGAGCGGGTGCGCTCCTGTGAGGGGGTGGCTGAGGACGACATTGTGTTGCGCAAGCTGCTCTCCCCGACCCCCCTCAAGCTCACTCCCAAAACGCTCCCCGCCAACCTCGTCCTCTCCTTCGCGCTCGGCCTTTCCGCTGCCAACCTATCAGCACTCGCCACGTCATTTAGAAAATTCGTATTAGAGGGAAGCAGCAGCGGTAGCATTAGCGGTGGCGGTGGAGGAGGGGATGGGAGTGACGGTGGGGGTGAGGGGGGACACGGTGGTTCCCTGCTGGTGTTTTTCGTGCAGGAGTGGCCACAGGGGTGGAAGCACCAACCGGGGGTTGCACTGCAAACGTTCTGCTCACCAGAAGAAGGTCGGTCAGTCTGTACCTCCTGTCATGTCTTGTCAACCCCCACGCCCTCAACCTCCTCTTCTCTTCATATCATGTCTTCTATCCAAACCCCACGAGTCTTGTCAATCAAACCAACCCATTTTCCCGGGCAACTCTGGCGACGCTTCTTTTTACCAGGCCGAGCTACAAACAAAACCTGCCACCGCATGCCTCCAATCAGCCTGAATTATCTTGCTTACTCTGAGTTCCGTATCCCCGTAACGTATCCCACTCATTCTGTCTTTCGCTGCCGTGGTGCTCATTTTGCCTTTCTGAAACCCTTTGACCTTTCACACTCGTTTCCAGGCAAGTGGGGCAGCAGCACATGCCATCAACCTGTATCATCAAGCTCATAATGCTTTTCTGGAACCCCTTGACCTATCCCACCCACCCTTTCCAGGCAAGTGGGCAGCAGCGCATGCCACCAACCTGCGCTATCGTGCCTTCCACCTCTTCCTGCGCTCGCTGGACTTTGAGGGAACCGTCATCCTTGCTGACCCTACAGATGTTCTCTTTCTTGCCAATCCTTTTCCTACACTCAACGACATGTCGTTTCATCTCTACACGGTAAGTTTCCTTATCATGTGTTTTTCCAAACCTCAAGAACGTCTCACAATGACATGTCTTATCACTGCATGGTACTATTTCTTACTGGGAGCATGCCAGGCTGGTGCATTGGGGAAAGGGAAGTGGGTCAGAAGGGCTGCGTATGTCACATACACCTGTGTGTATTTGGCTGAATTTGTATGCTACTTGTTCCGTTTTACCCTCCGTGGTTCTTCATGTTCCATTTCCAGGGCTCGACCACATACCCAACACATGGCATCCGTTTCCTGCCTCCAGAGCACAAGCGCCTTGCAGCATGTTATGGCACCCGCCTGGCATTCTCGCTCGCAAACTCACGAATAATCACATCCGGCATTGTGGCGGGGACTATGAGCCAGGTGCCAGAGTTTTTGATACAGGTCATAGAAGACTTTGAGAGGCTACCAGATGATTGTATAGCGCTGGAGGGAAGCGATGAAGCTGTTGTGAACCATCTCGTACGATCAGGTAAGCAGCATTGCAGCAGCTATCTAAAGCATTGATGCATCGGCAAGCATTGATGCATCGGCTTGCCTTTTTACCAGGCTGTTTCTCTTTACTCCTACCTAATCAATGAGTGATTGTTGTGATGCAGGGCGTTTGAAAGAAGGTATAGATTTCTTGAAGATAGAGGATGCACAGCAAGGGAATGTTTTGCATCGGTTTAGTGCAGAAGACTCGTTTGAAGTGAAAGAAGGTGGACGGGTTGTGAATGCAATGGGAAGGACCATCGTGGCTATCCATGGGTATGACAATTTTATTGACTCGCAATTGCTTGTAAAGGATGTGATTGGGCTGGCAATCCTACAACCATGATTCATGATTGCCAATAAAAAGTTTCTCTTGTCACAAAATTCCAGCAGTAAATAGTTACATTTACAAATGATTCATGCAACATGAAGCTGTGGGTTAACATTCAGGCTGGGCATAGGCACTCTTCTGGGTTTGCAAAGAAGTTGCTTGTTGCTGACCTCCCGTGGTAAATAAAGCGGTCCTCATGGGCAGCTCTGACGAGCTCAAGCAACTCACGCTCCTTGGACGTGTGGTGGCATGAGTATAAGGATGCCAGTTTTTTCAAGTCCGGTTGTACACTCCTCCGGCCATAGTAAAGCCTGTACTTTCCACAAGTCAGAAGGACCACCGCAACGCAAGGCAGCGACATAATGAGTGAGCATACACATCACCTGTGCCCAATAACAAAATTTGGAAAATTTCCTGTTGCGGTTGGAATGAAGATGCCACTTTCTGTGGAGACTATGTAATCAATAGCTGCTAGTGCAGATGCCCTCCCCTCCAACGGACCAAGTTCTTCCTGCATATACAATGTAAATTAGAGGTGATCACAGCAATAGCGTGGACACTGGGGGCGTGGTGTGCCTTGTTAGTACTCGTACCCGTGTCAGAATGTCCCGTTTGGTCAGAGCATTTGGGAACATGGATCGCAGAGACTGAAGGCTATAATTACCACCAAAAAGCTGTCCCTCTAATGTGGCAACGTAGATGGCTGAGCTTTTGCGAACTCCCATTGCTCGCATAAAAATGCCCGTCTCGATGGCACTCATTGGACACTGACCAAGTACACGCTGGCTAGCAGGATTTAGTGCTTCACGAAGCTTCCTTGTTGCTCTGTCCCAGTGCTCTACTCGGTACTCCTGCCAACAGTAGATGAGATCTCAGCAAGCAGAAACATTTTAGACTGGGCAGAAAGATTATAGACTGGGTATAGGACAATAGTTCCATACCTCTAGAGCCAGCTTCTCCTTCTCTCCACCCCCGAATTCACACATTGAATAGGCAACAGCATCAGTCTCGAACCTCCAATGCAATGACACGAAGTTGGATGACATCTTCTTCATTCTCCGTATGACCTTTCTTCCCAGTAAAAGAATTGAATTCACGAATCTGAGGCCCTGTTACAGATCAAATGTTACAAGCGTAGCCATTTAAGCCCAGTACAATGCACAGAACAGAACAGGCGCACCTCATAGTTGACCTTGCACCGGAATAGCTGCCACGATTCTGGAAGAACGTTTCCAAGGCGCCGTGCGAAGGGACTTAGTAGAACAATGCTGCTGTTTTGGGCTGAAGGCTTAACGTTCTCCACGTACCTGTGCTCAGGAGAAATTACACGAATGCTGGCACAGGCATTCAACAAATCTTACACCCTACCAATCCAACGTTGCCAGAGCATCTTCAGGAGGTCTGAATTCATGAATGGGAAGTTGTTTTGCCTCTTCAGGGATGGTTGTAACCACTTTGACGAAGCCTTTCAGCACCGACTCAAAATTCGTCAGGTTGAATAAATCTTGAAACGAGCTGTTGATTCAACTGTTATTTGCCCATGGATGACGGTCAGGAGATCAAATTGAATGACTAAGCAGAAGATTCACCTGCTATCTCCCCAGACAGGGTGGGCTTTCAAGAATGGCACAACAAGTGTCAAATTTAGAAAGCGTGCTAGGACAACGGCATTGACAATTGCTCCTCGCTGTTGATTGAGACCGCCATTGCAAACGGTGACAAGGAATGAACCAGTCGGCTTGTAGGGAGCTGCAAAAGGCATATGAGGAGATTCCGTACGGCATAGTAGTAACGATAGAAAAAACTAACACTCACGTAGCCTATGAATCAAATCATGAAAACGTCGGCCACATTTTTTTACAGTCGTTTCTCCCGGAGGGGAATAATCTAGTAAGCGTTCCTGCGGAAGGATGAGGTGAACTGTGCAGGCGAAACAGCACGCAGAAAGAAATGATGCTTACCCTTAACTCAGCTGACCGTTGAGCGTTAGCGACATATTTGCTCAAGATTGAAGATTTCATTATATTACCATCGTACGCCTGCAAGCACTCGTTATGTTACACGTAGAGGATTCCACCTAGACACGCGAAAAAGCAGTCTACTAACCGCTGCCATGCAGCTTCCATGAAGAAAAACAACTAGAGCAAAAATAACGATAAATTCAAGTTGGAGCATTATTACGACGCGCGCTGGCGAGAGTGGAACAAGGTGAAATTTGCTGCCGGGTGATTAGGACGACCTAAGAACCAAAACCAACAAAGAAATAGCGATCTGATGTACTCGCCCCAGAATACCTCGTTACAATTTGTCAGCTTTGCAAAGAGCCTTGTATTGCACAATACTGAATTGCTAACGGAAACGCTGATGTTGAGGTTGAGTCTCAACATCACACCGCCGCAACTTTCGCAACCTCCCATCCAACCCAGTTGCTGTTTCCTTGGCTGCTTCGCCTTTTCGGTTGTGGAACAGCCGCATCTTCCTCGCACACACGAGTACCCCTTCTGCAGGCTCCAGCACCCCCCAATATACACTCTCTGCCCGAAGACCTTGTACAGTCACGTGACTGATTGCACTTTGAGTGTCACCACATCAGTTACCACTCTAGCGTACGTAATAGTAACACTTTTACAGTTGCGAATCACCCCACATTCCGAGGCATGTCAAGTCGAGTGATAGAAGAGCTCTTTCTCCGTCGATTTGGCCATCTGGCCATCGCCACAATCCAAAAGTACCAGAGGCGATCGTTCATGCGTTTCCACAACGAGCATTGACCAATGGAACACAAAGGTTACACCTCCTCTCAACAGGTTTCTCACCGCACATTTTTCATCTGTGTTTCAAGTTGCCAGGAACCCTACTTTTCTCAGTACACAGTGCTTGGCAGAAATGATGTGCTAGCTAGTCCAACAGCAACTACTATGTGTAGGTGGTCATTTCCCAAATGTCGTCAGAATAGCTGACTAGTCTAGGTTCCTGGACGTATTCAGTATCTTTCCTCACCTGCGCAGTCATCGCTCTTCCGTCGTACACTTTTATTGATCCGCTGTTACAGCCGCGTTAGTAGTTTCCTTCATTTATACTTGAGCTGATGCTGGACGGCACTTTCTAGCGTAGCGTACTAGTTATATTCTGTGGCATTTCCAGAATCGTGCCAATAAGACTTCCCGATAGCTGATCAGCTTCGATTTTTTTTTAGCGTCTGACAAGGCCTCCGAATGGATGCGGTAACCCTCAATCTCGTTCAACAGTATCATATTAGATGGCCTTCGGTCTATTTCGTATTTTTTTCCCGTCCCTTTATTTTATTCTCTTTTCTTTTCGTTTTTCTTTTGTTTGCGGGACATTGTTTTAGTTGACTCGCGCCCCTTTCTCACTTTCGATAGGCTCCTAATGCTCTCTTACTACCAAAATAAAGACGTGAGGTAGCTCTGCATGGTTCTCCTGCTGGCACAGAAGGAAGATATGAACATTTGAGTGATTGTCGACATGCTCCCTTTGGATTTTCTTGTTTTTTTGCTAGCTCAGTTCTTACCATCATTTATTGTCGTGGCAGGGCCGGAGACGCCATTTCACTGGAAGGGTACTCTCCACCACGAACCCAGGTACCAAGTCCCTGCTGTCCTTGCTCAACCCAGGAGTCGATCCCAGTGCATTGTGTCGCGCCCTTTTTACAACGTATCAGATGGCCTTTTAGGTACCTGGTTTGATTAGGTTGAGGATGAGATCCCGTTCTTTCTTGCACATCCATGTCATTTCTGCGTCTGCTTTGGATTCATGGTCCCTCCATCCATCAACGTCCTTCAATCATCCCAACCCGTCCATCCATTTTCCCAATCTCCACGCAGCATCCTTCCCGGATGTGTTTGACATGGGGAAGAAGCTGGGCTCGGGGCAGTTCGGCACAACCTATGTGTGCGTGGAGCAGGCCACAGGACAGGCGTACGCATGCAAGTGCATTCCCAAGAGCAAGCTGCTGACGGAGGGAGACGTGGAGGATGTCAGGAGAGAAGTAGCAATACTGTACCACGTGCAGGTGCGTGGGTGGCACTTTTATGAATTCTCAAAAGAGAGCTGCTGACGGAGGGAGACGTGGAGGATGTCAGGAGAGAAGTAGCAATACTGTACCACGTACAGGTGCGTGGGTGTTATTCTGCCCCGTCATCACCTGCCTGTGTGCTTGATATGCACGTCAATGTTCCAGTTTTAGATTCTTCACAACCAGAAGTGGTGTCTATCAGGCAACCGTGTGTTGCTGTTTCCTGATAACGAGTTCTATCAGGCTTTAACTCGACGATTCTTCTCGTGTTGCTTTTCTGTGCTCCTTTTTGGGATTCAGAATCAACCTAACATTGTGAACATCAAGGATGCGTATGAAGACAAGGATCACGTGTACATTGTGATGGAGCTGTGCACGGGAGGAGAGCTGTACGACACGATTATAAAGAGGATAGAGGCCAGAGGAGTGCCTTACTCGTGAGTACCCATGCGGGTCTGACCTGGGTGGGCTTTTCATGCACTAGAATACTCGTGTGAGTGGAAGGGAAGTTCATGCATGCAGACCTACAAGGAATTAATGTCTCTTCTCTTACCACGTTGCAATGCCTCTCCAGAAGCTGAATCTCGTGCCTGCTCTCTCTGTTAGAGACGCAAAGGTAGCAGTGCAAGTGGTGGTGGCGTGGTGGGTGGGTGCATACCTTCTGAT